CTTCGATGTCGACGAGCGACCAAACCAATGAGTTCCGACAAGGGCATCGCCAACGCCGCTTGTCTGAGCTACCAGATGTTGTCATCGAAGGCGACTCGATGATCAAGCACATCGAGGGCCGACTCCTGAGCCGAAAACATAGAGTAGTCTGCCATCCGAACCCAGGGGCAACGGTGGCTGATATCTCCTCTAAGAAGGCTACTGTGGGTGTAAAGGCGAAAGGAGACGTCATTCTACATGTCGGGTCAAATGACTTGTCGAAAGGTAATGGTAGTACATCAACCGCCAATGACATCATAGCATTAGCAGACGTGATTGCAGCGAAAGGCTGTGATGTATGCTTGTCTGGTGTTATACACCGCAGATGGAATCGGTTCACCAGAGGCGCAGTGTCGATGGGGTTAATGGGCGATTGAGAAGAGCTGCCCGTGAAAGGAGATGGGGTTTCGTTGGCAACGACAACATAGGTGACAGGCACCTTGGCAGAGATGGGGTCCACATCAATAAGGCAGGACAAGCTGTTCTTGCCTCTAATCTACGCCACTTTATTGAGCGACCTCGAGGGCCACCTACACCTACTCAGCAAATGTCCTACGCTGAAGTTGTTGGATCTTCAACGCAGGATTTCGAGATGATTGCTCCGAGAGGGAGGCTAAAGTCTGCACCTGCTCTTCCAATGTTTCCACTGACAAAAGCTCAACAGGGGTGGAACGAGCATCTACGTCTCGTCATGGCAACATGCAGTTAAACTCTGTCTCTGGTACTGGCATACTACATCATAATCTTCAGGATCAATCTCATGAACTGAATAAGAGTAACATTAAACAGTTGGAAGGTGGTTCAGTTCCTCCGTTTAGAAACAGGGGCTTAAAATTTGCCCATTTGAATATTCATAGCTTAGTTGCTAAGATTGACGAACTTAGATTACTTCTGAGAAATGCATCATTTGATGTTATTGGTTTAAATGAAACATTTTGCGACTCCATGATTGATGATTCTGAATTGTATATAGATGATTATATTTTATTGCGTAGAGACCGTACGAGACATGGTGGTGGTGTGGCTGTATATATATCCAAGAGGTTCAATTATAAAAGAAGGGATGATTTGATTTCTTCTACTTTAGAATGCCTTTGGTTTGAATTGCATTATCCAAATAAGTCTCCCATCCTGGTTGGAGAGTTTTACAGACCTCCAAATTCTCACGTTGATTTCTTTGAAGAATTAGACGGAAATTTGGACTCTGCTCTCTCGGAAGATATGAGCTGTATTATTTTAGGTGATTTCAATTGTGATTGTATGCCACACCAACTTGATCTGAATGCTGAAAAGTTAATGTTTTATACAAATATGTACGGGTTAAGTCAGCTAATTGATACTGCCACAAGAGTTACAAATACCTCTTCTACTTTAATTGATTTGATATTTGTATCAGACAAGGAACTTTACAATGAATGGGGAATATTTGAAACTAGCATAAGTGATCATTATTTGGTGTATACGGTTCGCGATTTTAGTGCAAAGATCCATAACAAATCCGAATACGCAGAATTTCGCTCGTTTAAAAATCTTGACGAGGAGAAATTTTACAGTGAATTGAGAAGTACTCCTTGGCAGGTCATAAAAGATATAGATAATGTTGATGTTGCGTGGGATATGTGGTTGACTCTATTCAATAATATAATCAACAAGCACATACCAGTATGTAAAAAGCGGATAAGAAAAAAGGCATGTCCATGGATATCTGACGAGATTGTTAAGCTTATGACGGAACGTGATAAAGTTCTCAAAGCTGCTAAAGCTAACAAAAGTGATGATCTTTGGGACACCTACAAATATCTAAAGAATACAGTTATTCACCTCATGAGGAAAAGAAAAAGAGAATATAATGCAGACCAGATCTCGCAAAATCATAACAATAGTAAGCAAATGTGGAGATGTTTGAGAAACCTTGTGCCTAAGTCATTACCTATATCTCCCAATAGCATAAATGTTGATGGTGCTAATGTGTCAGACAATGCAAATATTGCTGAAGCTTTTAATGACTTTTTCATTTCTAATGCTACTAAGATTACAAAGGACCTGCGAAGGAATAAGTCTCAACTGAGAGTAGACGAGGACAATAATATTGGTCCAACTCATTTGCAATTTAATTTGAATTTGATTACTGAGGATTTTGTATTGAAACAGATTGATAATCTGAGTATAGATAAAGCAACTGGTGAAGATCACATCAGCTGTAAACTTTTAAAGATGACGAAGAATGTTATCGCAGAGTCTCTTTGTGATATCATTAACAAATCCCTGTCTACAGGAGTTGTTCCACGTGAATGGAAAAAGGCTCGGGTAGTACCAATATTCAAATCTGGAGATATTTCTTCTTTGAATAATTACCGTCCCATTTCGATATTACCTATCGTGAGTAAAATTATAGAAAGGGCCGTCCACCAACAACTCAGTGAATTCTTGGACGTGAATAAATTATTACACCCTAATCAGTCTGGTTTTAGACCTAAACATTCAACAGCTACTGCCCTTGCAAAACTTGTAAATCAATGGTCGTTGAATATTGATAACAAAGAAATTTCTGGAGTTGCCTTCATAGATCTTCGTAAGGCTTTTGATACTGTTGACCATGAGCTACTTCTACATAAACTAGCTTGTATAGGTTGTAGTAATAGGACTATTTATTGGTTCAAATCATATTTAGGGGATCGACAACAAGTGACCCAATTCAAAGGAGCCAAGTCGCATCCATCAACCATCAAATTAGGTGTGCCACAAGGTTCAATTCTTGGTCCCCTTTTATTTTCAATATATGTTAATAGTCTACCTGAATGTACTCCTGAAGGTATCATAGATATGTATGCTGACGATACGACACTTACCGTCAGTGCAAATGATGCAACTGTTGTGGAAGAAAAATTAACTGTTGCGTTAAACAGAGTCATGGCATGGATTAAGGAAAATCGTCTTGTTCTTAACACTGAAAAAACTTGTGTCATGTTAATAGGCTCTCCTGCTAATCTCAAGAAAATTGAATCTTTCACCATTTCATTAAACGGCAATTTGATCAAAAGAGTTCAATTCACCAAATGCCTAGGACTTTTGATAGATGAAGAATTGAAATGGTCTAAACAAATCGAAAACGTAAGTAAACTTACCCAGAAAAACATTAGCATGATAAAGAGAGCAAAGAGTTTTTTGCCTCAAAAATCCTTAAAGTTACTTTATAACAGTCTAGTGTTGCCACGATTAGATTACTGCTCTGTTGTATGGTCGAACCGATTTCATTCTCATACAACTAAGCTGCAAAAAATTCAAAAGAGGGCCGCAAGAATAATATTGAACAAGACATATGACACACCGTCGGCTGATTTGTTCACAAGTCTTAAATGGATGACACTAGACAAGCGGTTTGAGTTAAGTCGCGTTATGATGATATATAAATGCGTTCATAACTTAGCACCCTCTTACCTTCAGGTAGGCTTAATCAATCCTAATGATGTACATGAGCATCATACAAGGCAAATAGACAGTGGATGTTTACGTGTGCCTAGATTTCACACTGATTGTTATAAGTGTAGCCCAATTGTTTCTTCCATATTTGAATGGAATAAGCTAGATAATTCGTTGAGAACGGCTTCCTCTGTCAATTCATTTAAGAGATTGTTTAAACAAAGTTGTAATTTGTGAATGGCTCAGCCGTACATACACTACGTGCATGTTCTGTAATATTTACATGTCTTATTCACATAATTGCGACTTAATTAATATTTTCCTATTGACATTACTGCTTACTAGGTTAATGATATATGTTAATTTTGCAAACGAGTATTATTTTTGTAACTGTTCTGTATAAATGTTATAAACGATGTAAATATGTTCATTCAGGGCCCCATGGAAGACCACTACTTGCTGGTGAATGGGCTACCCTGTCAAAAGATCAGAAATAAATAAAAAAAAATAAAATAAAAAAATCGTAAACAGCTGTATGGGCTTTGTACATGTTCTGGGCGATGCGTTCATAGCGATAGCTCCTTCACATGATGTCTTCAAGGTTGTTGATGCTTCAGTTGATGCTGGAGTTTAATAGAAAATACTTAATTGTTTATTCATTTATTCATCTATTTACTCTTTTACACATTAGATTATTTATTAAATTTTTCATATATTAATTCCTTACATCATTTATTCAATTCAAATAATCATACATGTACAGGATGGCTCATTTAAAAGTGGTCTTCTATGAGGTTTTGCTAAAGGTATAGACCAGTTCTGGGAACGCCCCCCTCTCAAAAAAAGAAAGAAATGGAAGCTCTTATTACCAATACGTTTTGACTAAAACGTGATGATACAAATTTTGCCGGGAACCCGCCTAGTAAAATATATAATTGGTAAATTATCATATCTATCCGGCCAGGATAGATATCGCGTAGTCCCATATACGTCTTTATGTGTACAGCGCTTGTGACTTTACCAAGAGTGGGCCAAATTTCTTATCACTTTGAAGATTCCAGAACCTTGCAGTACACACCAATACCTATATGGTAGATGATCAACCATTTCTGATCGATTCCACTACGTTTCTTTCACAATGCAATCGCATGACAACCTCCATACCAAATTTTAATATAGACAACACTCATTAGACTGCATTATCACATAGTGACACACCATTAGGCATAATAGGATGATATATATACAACATTATGTAATCCAAATTAGTCCGTAAATAATCATAGAGCAAATTGCTGTTCTGGGAATTTGTTTTTCTTCTTCTCATTTGTTAATATTTCCAATGATTAAATGATTAAAGTTAATAATGTTTTTCTTTATTCTAAAGCATTTCATAACCTGAGCTGTTATATTCTTTACTCTGTTAACCATGAACCCCCCCCCTTCAAATATTTCCACGGGCAACAACCCGTGGCCGTCACCCTGGTAAACTAGCTCATGTAATATATACCACATCACATTTTACCCTTTCTTTATTTGAATTAAGGCCACTGAAACTCACCAAGGAGTTCTTCAAAGAGCTCCATACGAAGAGCAATACGTTCATGCCAGGTGTAAGGTAAAATGCGAACATATCGACACGATATTGGCACGGGAAAGCGATTGTAAACCACGGTGTATCGGTCACTGTTGCCGGGAAAGATCTGAGGAAAACACGCAAAATCAATCACTTGATAATAGAACAACGTGTAATTTCAAAGAGAGAGATAAATGCTATAATTAACATTATTAAGAGAACAATAATAATTAAGAAATGCTCTATAAAAGAATCACATTTGACTGGTAATCGACCAATTAACTGATTAGGGTCGAAGTATGAGTAAATTGGTACCTACGTTGTCGGTGTCAGTGTTAGTGGGGTCTTTCACTGTATCAAAGGTAGTACTGTCTATACTGCAGGCAATCTTAAAGCTGGTTACCCACTGGGAATAATCCTGACGACCCTGTGTTGCAACTCCTACGATGCTGTACGTAGCTAAAAGATCAACCTGAGATTTGAATAATAATGATATCGAAAATGGAAATAGTAAGAACTGTGTTTGTATATATATATACAAACTTGTTGTATTCACCCTACGTGAATTACCTCGTTAATTCCGCATGAACAAAATTAGCAATAGTTAATACTAAAGGCCGGCTAACATAATAGCGGCAAACGACGGAATCACAACGAAGCTTCATTTTATTCTGACGACTGCTCTAAACATTTGTTTGGGGATTTTGGGCATTAAGACCTTGTTGTTGTTCCTTTTTTTTGTAGAGGGTGGTATTTTTGGAATTTGTTGACATTTTCTGTTTATTTAATTAAAACTGTGTCCATTTCCTGAAGAAAGTTCTTCAATAGAATGCAGATGTTGATTGGTCTGGTGTTTCAATTGCGGGTAGCTCATTCGTGCATGCTTGATCGGAAGTATTTATGTCAATTAGTTAATATGTACCTATAGTAATACAGCTCAGCGCTCGGAATGGGTGTGTGCATCAAATACATGTATAATTGAAAATGTTGTAGATCATGAGCCCTGAAAACGTCGGGATTAAATGTTAGATATAGATAGTTGAACAGATTTTCAGTCTGTCAGTGTTTTTGGAAGGAAATAACATTTGAAGGAATATTTGTTCTTGTGATCTCTTGGTTGAGCGAGTAACAAGGTAAGACAGGTTTTGTGTTGTGACGGAGAGATACCCTTTATGAGCTTGAGAAGCTTCAGGAGCGAGACTTCAAACAAACAAGAAAGAAATTCAGGAATAGAGACTGACCTGAATCCACTGGTTCAAATCGTTTGTTTTGGCAGACCATCCTCCATACAGGGCTCCGTCTCTGGCTATGTTTAACCGTCCTCGAAAAGGACCGTGGTTGGCGTCGTACTCACTAGAAGCTGTTAAGCTCGAATCTGGGATTGCCCCACTTTCTAAGCCTATAGGGCTAGCATCCTGGAAATGCCCTATTTTCAAAGAAAGAAACTTGGCCTAAATGAAATAGATTCATTTGTTCTTACAAAAGTCATGTATCTAAAAAATAATACATACTGACAGGAGCTGCATGCTCTTTTAACGCAATAAAGTTACTGGACATCACTCATTAGTATTTTAATTGAATTTCTTCCTATTGAATTCATAACGTCTTCGAGTTTATATAGGCAACATGGTGTAACCGACAAATAAATAAACGTGAAAATGAGAGCACGATTAACATCTAAAGTACTAAACACTTACTCATATATAGATGTGCCCTTTTACCAAAAAATCCCAAGAAAATCAAGAACAAGGAAAAGAACAACTACAAAAAAAACCCCACAACAACAACAACAATCAAACCATTTATTTCTTTACCAACAGGGATTAAAGATGTCACAGTTTCCGAGTGTACAGGTGTCAGTGTTGGGTTTGTCGAGGGTTTGGTCGTTGCTGTAGGAATAAGAGTGGGGACTATTGAGAACAAAGATTACAATAATAACTGGGAACTGTGAGGGACGGAAAGATGAACGATGGCGATGAGGTAAAATTTGGTTAACAACGAAATGTATATATTAATGATGAACAGTACAAAAAAGTGTAAAATACACAATAAACAAACAACAACAACAGCAACAATAACATTAACAACTAAGAAGATATAAGAGCAAGTAGGAAAAACTTCTATTTGGTAGGGTTTTTTAAAATTTCCGGACATGTTCCAATCGGCAGGTGTTAAGCAACGACTATATGGACCATTTTGAGTGGAGCAGGAATGATATTCTAATACTATGAGATTTAAGTAGTTTGGTTATGAGTACTGTATTCTTACGTATGAACCAAAGCACCATTTCTTTTCTTGGGTCAATGCAAACACTACTTTGCATAGTTCTGAATGCATGTATATCAATTAAGATCAGCTACCCCATTACATTCTTAAGGCTTAATTCGTTCCACGAAGCTTTCGCATCGGATCGGGTAGTCTAGTTACACGAACATTTGCGAAAACATTCCCCCAATATATCCATGAAAGGTCGGGTAATTCAAATGATAATGCTAATCTTTTACACATTTCTGAAAACTATCCAATGCAATGTCGATGTGTCGATAGCTAACTATTTTACTAACTCTTATGTGGATTAATCACCTCGTATTCAAAAGTATGGGGTCAAGTTGCGACTTTTTGTAGATTTGCTGTAAGTCTTTTAGAAAATGTTCGGGTATACTTGACATAACGCTTTGGTGATACGAGGAGTGCATTCACAAGTGCTGCATGGGGAATTAGGGGTTGATCATTCATAAAAGTACCTTGATTTTTGTTGTTATTCTCTTATTCTAACTAAAATACTTCATTTCATCAATGTTCAGTATGAGATAAGACACTGAACGAATCATACCTAAGGGGCCTATTCTTGGACTGTTATAATTATGTTGGAGTTGGGATATAAATCTGTTATTCAACTGTTTTTTTTTAAAACCCGCTTAAATCTGATTAAGGTAGCTGTGGTATTGATAACAGCCTTCCCATAACTATAGTGCCCCGAGTAATATCGAGTTTATCATCTTGCTCAACTGTTAATTGGTGCTCACTGATATAATTTTTACTCGGGTCAAGATTTATTAGAAGCATCCCTTATGTAATTCCGCATAATAGTGAGAGATCCGTAAAACGACACCCCCAAAAGTGGTTTTCGATATTCAGTTCATTTAGATTATAACGTGTTTAGCGAACCAGCAAAATATTATATAGTGGCGTAGAGAAGAGCAATTAACTATTAAGTATCGTTGCTTTAAAGTGCCCGTTCAAAGAAAATCACAAATATGGCAAATAACGTATATCACTAGAAACTGTTAGGCTAACAGATGGCAATCGTACGAGTTTAGCTCAACTACATATCGGGTGATTTATAAAAAGATAAATAAAACCAAATCATAGCATTTAGGTTATACGAGAGATTCTCCAGAAAAATAAAGATTTTTTCAATGAAATCACATTATTAACCGGTTTCGCCCAACCAGACGACGAAGAATAAACATAATTGCAATGCTGTTAGTTCTCACATTATAATGAGTTTAGTGTATATAAATGTGATGGCATTTTACACCATTCAAAACGGAATATGAAACCGATTCTGATGACTAAATTCTTGTATTTTAAATACACAGGATAAGGTTTAATGAACAATCAAAACAACCACACTTTCAAATTGGAACCCCCCCCCCCGAATGATAGCATAGACGGCATTTGTTCCCTCTTGAAACACCGAACATACTGCGGCGTATGCAGCTGGATATACAATGACTTTATAATAATAATAATAATAGTGGCTACTTGTATAGCGCACAGGTCCACCTTTCGGTGCTCATGGCGCTTAGAAAAGAGTACATGTAACAGGCATAAGAAAGAAAAAACAATAAACCGAAAAACAAATTCGGAATTCTCCTAGACATAGTAAATTAAAATATTGCAATAATTACAACGAAAGAAACAAATAGGTTTTTAGTTGTAATTTGAATGTTTCTGTCGATGACAGTTGACGTAATTTTAGAGGGAGCTTATTCCACAGTTTTGGACCCATGGCTGAGAAAGCCCGTTCACCCCAAGCATGTTTTATTCTGGGTGTATTAAGTAATAGTGTGTCTGATGAGGAGCGAAGACTTCGTGTGGGGTTGTATTTTGAAACAGAGTTGCTCAGGTATGCAGGGGAAGAAAGAGAGTAAACTGAATGATGTACAAGTAACATAATTTTAAAAATAATCCTTTTTTCAACTGGCAACCAATGGAGAGAACGGAGAATTGGTGATATGGAATCAGATTTCCTAGTGAATGTTAATAGGCGGGCTGCAGAATTTTGAAGTCGTTGCAGTTTTGTGACATCTTTTTTTGGAAGGTTACAGAACAATGAATTTGCAAAATCTAAACGAGAAGAAATTAAAGCATGAATTAAGATCTCAGCCGCAGGTTTAGATAAACACTTTCTTATGAAACTTAGATTACGTAATTGGTACCTTACACTCTGTTGAATATGTGTTATGTGACTACGAAAGGACATTTCCTGATCAAATATTACACCCAAATTACGAGCTGTTTTTGATGGAGTGATACACGTTTTTCCAATATGGAGATGACACGATTGATAGTCAACCTTCCCTAACATGTGCTTGGAACCTAATAATAAAAACACAGATTTATCATCATTTATTATATCATCATTTATTATTTTATCCCTGCATTTTTCATCAAAATAATTGCATGCGGGGGGTCTAGAGTAAAGCAATAGATTAAATACTAAAGCATATCAATTCCTTTCATAGCAAAAGCGCTCCTCACAATTTCTGTAAATTTGACAGTTTAACGCTACGCGTACCGCCTTGACCGGACTGTGCGGTATCTGTGCAGTTCTGTGTGTAGAGAGGTCGGGCCGTATTCATTATTTCTTGGGGGTGCATAAATTGCTCTCATTATACGTACGCGTGTAATGCGCAATTTCATTGTGACGGCACTAAACCCATCCACTCATTGTTCCCCTATTTTCATAATGGTACTGACCCAATGAAATGTGCAGTGCGCTCGTACGCGCTGCGCTGCGTGTGTACATGTACTGTACTTATGCATGTTCAGTTATATGTGTATGCATAGCATTACGTACATGTATGCATACACGGCTAGCTGGCACAAAACCCTGGGTCGGGCTTCTAAAATGGGACATGAATGATTTGACATGAAAATTGACGGGGCTAAAAATGAATCAATCAAAATGAGCTTTATATGTATGAAAAGCTTACGTATCATATGTCATTGTCTGGGATTGAGGATTTACAAATTTGACGCAAAACGCGTTGCTGCAAAGTTGAAGATTGGTATATTGAAAGGCAATTGAGCACAGTGCGACCGATCAATGGACATTATGTATGAGAAAGTAAAACAAGTTAAATGGATTGTAAAGTTTAACGTCAAAATGACGGAGGTTTTTTTTCAAGTAAGGGCATGGTTTTACATGGAATGTAAAGGAAATGTTTCCTTCTTATCATATCT